TTGATTTTTATCGAATTGAGGACGATCAAAGGCTGACAATGGCATCGTTCTATCTTGACGGTGAAGCACTTTAGTGGTATCGATGGCTATTTAGAAATAAACAATTAGTTAACTGGCCGTATTTCCCAGAGAAGGTGCGAATTCGCTTTAAACAGAAGGGACTTAAGTCGGCAAAGGGAAGGTTAGCGAAACTCCGACAGGTTACTACTATATCAGAACTACAGGGCAGGTTTGAGGCCATCGCTAACGAAATAGAGGATGTTTCTGAAAGGCTTATGGTGAAGCTTTTTATCTTCGGGCATAGGGAAGATATCAAAAATTCAGTGTTAAGTCATGAGCCCAAAACTTTTGAAGAGGCACTTACACAGGCCCATATATACGAGCGCCGGATCCAAGCTGAGAAAGGACTAGTCTGGCCCACTTTGGACAACAAAGGTATGCCCTTGTTACCCAACCCTACCACAGCTCCAAATCATTATCCCTCTACCTCTCACAGCCCCAGTGCCACTATACCATCAAATCGTCTACCTCTCTAACACTTGACCATGCTGAGATTCAGAGCAAGCGAGAGCGTGGCCTATGTTATTATTGTGAGGAGAAGTACACAGCCGGACACAAATGTAAGACTCACACTCAACTTTTACTTCTCACCAACGAGCCTGAGAATGACCCGCTCTTAATAGAATCTTTTGTTTTTAATGATATTTTGGCTGAGGAGATGCAGCGCTTGGAGATACAAGAGTACTCTGCCATCTCCTGTCATGCCTTAACGGGAGGACACTCATGTTCCACTCTCCGCTTCATTGGTCCATTGAATGGTTGCCAAGTATAGATTCTAGTCGATGGAGGAAGTACTCACAACTTCATCTAGCTGCGGGCATCAAAGGTTTTACAACTTCCAATTGAGACCATTCCAACAATATCTGTCATGGTAGGCAGTGGACAGCATCTACAGTGTAATGGAGTTGCTCGGCAAATGACTCTTATGATCCAAGGAAGTATATTAGTGGAAGACCCCTATGTATTGTTGTTTCATGGTTCAGATGTTGTATTAGGGGTAGAATGGCTTGCTAAATTGGGACTTGTGCTGACTGATTATGCTACAAGGATATTTGAGTTCTCTTTGAATGGGTCTAAGGTATCTTGGAAGGGAAATTCACCAACAGATGTGCAACCGATACAATTACATAGTTTGATAAGGATGGCGGCCGCTGATGCTATTGCTTCCTTCTTCTGCCTAGAAGTGGTAAATGGGGAGAAGGCACCGTTGGAAGAACCTATGGCTGATTTGGCATCCCTTTTAGATTCCTTTAAGGATGTGTTTCAGAAGCCAGCAGGGCTACCCCCTTTGCGTGTACAGGATCATGCCATATATCTTAATCCAGGAGCACAACCGGTGAATGTCAAACCATATCGGTATCCCTATTTTCAGAAGCAAGTATGGAACAACTTGTAGCTGACATGCTCAGAGAGGAGTCATCAGAACCAGCACTAGTCCTTTTTCTTCTTCTATGCCTTTGGTACACAAGAAGGATGGGACATGGCAGTTTTGTGTCAATTATTGGTCTCTGAATGCATTAACTATACGCGACTGCTTCCCAATCCCTACCATAGATGAACTTTTTGATGAGCTGAACGAGGCACAATTCTATTCAAAATTGGACTTGCTCTCTGGTTACCATTAGATACGAGTCTGACCTGAAGATGTCACGAAGAAGGGATTTCACACTCATGATGGACATTACGAATTCCTCGTAATGTCGTTCGGGCTTACCAACGCCCCTTCAACTTTCCAAGCAACTATGAATGACATTTTTAGGCCATATTTGCGGCGCTTTGTTTTGGTTTTTTTCGATGATATATTGATCTATAGCTCAACTTGGAAAGCTCATTTGGAGCAACTGGAGCTTGTATTAGTTCGGCTTAGGCAACATCAGTTAGTAGCCAAACGATCAAAATGTCTATTTGGTCAGTCATCGGTGGATTATTTAGGACACATAATTTCTGCTAAGGGATTGTCTGTAGATCTTGTGAAAATTGTTGCTATCCAGCAATGGCCTTCCCCTCGTACAATAAAGGAGGTACGTAGCTTTTTAGGACTAGCATGTTATTATCGGCATTTCATCCACCACTATGCTGCAATAGCCGGACCGTTATCAGGCCTATTGAAAAAGGACTCTTTTAAATGGAGTGAGGCTGCACAACAGGCTTTTGAAACATTGAAGCTCAAATTAGGATCCACACCTGTCTTGACCTTACCAGATTTTAGTCAAGAATTTCAAGTTGCAACAGATGCGTCTGGCCAAGGGGTTGGGGCCATTTTATCGCAAAAGGGGCATCCCATATCTTATTTTAGCCAGAAGTTGAGTTCTCGCATGCAAAAGGCATCGACCTATCATAGAGAAATGTTCACCATTACCCAAGCGGTGAGTAAGTGGAGGCAGTATCTTTTGGGATGGAGATTCACTATTTATACTGATCAACAATCCTTGAAAAATTTGACCAACCAAACTATACAAATGCCTGAGCAGCAGAAATGGCTCACCAAGCTAGTTGGTTATGACTTTCGCATAGTGTATAGGCCTGGAAAACAAAACACCGTAGCTGATGCTCTTTCCCGCACACCAGATGCGTCATTAATGGTTTTGTCTATTAAGACCCTTGCAATTAAACAAGAGCTGAGGGATTTGAATCAGAACCATCCAGAGTTAGTCGACATATGACAGCAGTTGCAGCTTAACGAGGAGGGCTTCATGCACTATCAGTTCAAGGATGGGCTACTTTTTTTTTAAATAAAGGCTGGTTATTCCTTCAGATTCACACCTGCGCCATAAACTTATGTTTGAGTTCTATTCCACGGCAATTGGGGGACATGCAGGGGTAGCTCGCACCTATCACCGACTAGTTTCCAATTTCTTTTGGAGACAAATGCGTAGAGATGTCCAGTCCTTTGTAGCTACTTGCCAAACTTGTCAGCAAATGAAAGACACTCATCTGCACCCAGCAGGTCTATTACAGCCTCTCCCGATCCCCGATCAGGTGTTTGAAGACATAGCTATGGATTTTGTCACTTGCCTTCCAAGCTCTCACGGAAAAACGACCATAATGACAATAATCTATCGCTTGAATAAGTACGGGCATTTTGTTCCCCTGCCCTCTACATTTTCTACTCACTCGGTGGCTGAAGCTTTTGTACTTGGAGTAGTTAGGCTTCACGGACCACCAAGGACTATTGTGACAGACCGGGACCCTAGGTTTCTACACTCTTTTTGGCAAGAAATTAATAGTTTACAAGGGTCAACCTTGGCAATGAGCACTGCCTACCACCCACAATCCGATGGACAGTCTGAGGCCCTTAACAAATGTGTTGAGTAGTATCTTCGCTGCTATGTGGCTGATGTGCCTTCTCACTGGGTGGCTATGCTACCTTGGGCTGAATATTGGTACAACATATCCTTTCGAACTTCAGCAGGGATGACTCCCTTTCAAGCTTTGTATGGGCGCGAACCTCCAACAATTGCTCGTTACATATTAGGCAACAAAGCTAGTGAACTGGTGGAATCCTATATGTTACAAAGAGATGAAGTACTGTAGTTGCTAAAACCAACTTGGCAAAGGCACAAGCTCACATAAAAGCCTTTGCGGACAAGTCCAGAACTGAAGTGGTCTTTGAAATTGGAGACTGGTTTTATGTCAAATTAAAACCTTATAGGCAGGTATCGCTTCGTTTACAAAAGGATCACAAGCTGGGACGACGATACTTTGGTCCATTTCAAGTGTTAAAACGAATTGGTGCAGCAGCTTACAAGCTAGACTTCCCGAGGTTGCTAAAATTCACCTCGTTTTCCATGTCTCTATGCCAAAGCGTTGCTTGGGGGAACCAGAACAACAAGTTACGCCTTTGCAACTAGCTGATGGTGCCGAGTTTAGCCCGACACTTGATCCAAACCTTGAGGACAAGGTTGCTTTTCCGGAAGGGAGTATTATTGTGAATACAAATCCAGTAAATGCTGACAGAGATGACAACAAGGATGCCACGAGAGAAGAACCCATGGGTCTGCCATGTAGGAGTTCTAGAAAAATAATTGCACCAGCTAGACTTGAGGATTACGTTTGGAAAGGTGGAGGATCACGTGAATAAAAGGATAGAGTTTGTTACGAGAAGTGAACTATATAAGCACCAGCGGTATGGCATTAAGGGCAGGCAATTTTGTTATGAGTGAACTCTAATTTCCATCTCCTTTCTTCTGGTTTCTCACCTCTTTCTTCTAGCACCTCACCTCCTTCTTCTATTTATCTTTAGCTCCTATTTTCTGCAATTCCTAATGTCTTATGTTAACTAGTTATGATTTTTTCCTATTTGAGTTGTAATCACATACCCATTAATATAGCTGAATCTTTTGGTTACTGCTTCATTAACTTTGAGTTGAGAATTGAGAATACCACAAGGTAGGCGAAAGATAACGTAAGTGTCCATCTTGGACAACCATGTTCCTTCAGCAGTTGTCGGCAAGATTCATTAGAAAGCCCAAAAATGGCAGAGAGATGGAATAATTGCAATTTTTATCTTGATTCTGGATTTCAACTATAAATGTCAAGTGTATGTACCTTTAATTTTGTTGTTTTTTTCTGGAAATTCACCATTTACTCTTCTTTTGATGGGCTTTTTAATTCATCTATTTGTTGCTCTAGCTCGAAAAAGATCCCAACTTCACCGCAAGTAGAACCTGCTTCCGCATGTAAACACTCTCATAGGAAAATCTTGAGTGTCGATCAGGACAGGTTTCTGCTTTGTATTATAATGCATTTATTAGAAAATGGTAGTGTCAATTTGGATTTCAGTTGTGACAATTGAGATTTCAGCAGCCAAATTTGGAATTCTGAAATTTCTTAATTGACTAACCCACAGGGTGTATCTTTAAATTCTGAATAGAGATATATGTCTTGAAATACCTATAAATTCTATGAAACAACTCAGATATAGAGCTAATTTTTGTTGTGATCAAAAGAGGAGGGTTACCCCATTATTTTCATTAAATTTGAAATATTCTGATATTGTATACTAAAAGTTTACTTATTTCCTTTTATCAGTCTGTGATGATTGTCAATGTTATTTTGATTAGTTTTGCACATTGGTGATATTAGGTTTTCGAGATTTTTATTAGTCACCTCAGAACATTAATAGTACTAGATTAAGCATGAATTCCCATAAAGTTTGTGTCTTTTAAGTGGTGTTTGAACTCCCATTGGTGGTCTTAGATTGTTTCTACTTTTGACCTGAACTGGCCTTTATTTCTTGTGTGGTGTGCATTGCATGTGTATCTTCGTTGTGTATATAGATGCAGCATATGATTTTTGTTTTTTTTCCTTAACAAGACAGGCAGAACTTCAAGTAGATTGTGGCTGGTTTAAAAAGCAGTTTACTATTTTTGTGCTCTGAAAAGTTGAATAAGTTCTTAAGATTTCATGTTTCTGATGGATTTAGGTAGATATATATTCCTTCTCGCGGAGCAAGTGAAATATTGGAAATTCATGCGGAGATGGACACATCATTGGTGTCTTTAGCAGAATTCACGGTGATGTTTGATGATCATGATTGGGGTTTTGGTATTATGTCCACCTTGCTGAAGCTTGAATATGGGGATAGGAATCATCATGGTAGCCATGTGTCCTCAACTTGCCGCAATCTTAGCCATGTGTGTGCAACTTTGCCGCTATCTTATCACTGGGTCGCGCTTTAAGGAGATGCAATCACATTTTAGTTTGTACACACAGTAATACAGTGAAGGAGAAGTACCACCAACCAGCAATAAAGAAGAGTACAGATTTAAAGAATATGGTAGTGAATCCGAGGCGGAGAAAAGATAAGTGCATGTGGCTTTGGAATCGATTCTAAACCACGGTATGAATTATATAGCTTACGAAACATGTTCTGTGGCCTTCATGGCGTAGTACAGTAGCCCTTTTCAAGTTGTGACCATCAATTCTTTTGTTTAAAGGCAGTCTATCTTGTAGGGACTTGTGGTTCTTTTGGGTGTAATTATTTGTTTCTGACTCTGTTTCAGGGTATGCATCTCATGTAAGTTCATCAGTGTAAAGGTCTATGTTCTCCCCTTGATTTTTTTTTCATTTTGTAATATTGGATGTGGCTGTGGATTATCCAACAATTGATTTCAGTTATCAACAAATTAAAAGAGTATTTGTTCACAGATGTCTGGTCGCTGTATCTACCCTTAGGATAAGCTGATAGTGTGATAGTGTTTTGTGTAGGACTCCTAGCGATTTTTGTTGTGTTTCATATTTTTGTTGTCTTTCATATTTTGGTTTTTCCATTTATTTGTTGTATTTTACGATGTTGATACTATTTTTCTGGTTTCTGTTGTTGTTACGGATCTATTGTCTCTGAGCCTAGGGTCTTCCGGAAGCAGCCTCTCTATCCCTTCGGGGAAGGGGTAAGGTCTGCGTACACTTTACCCACCCCAGACCCCACTAGTGAGATTCTACTAGGGGGTGTCGTTGTATTTAGCAACAAAAAGAAAAGGCAACAAAATAATTCAGTCGCTTACTGTCAAAAACTAATCAGAACCTTAACATACACAATGCATGAAAACATGCTCTGTTTGACTTCCCTAATGTAACGTCCCTGGCTAACAGACCTAGACCTACACATAAAGCTAGGTTATACATGGGGCATTGAGTATTTTGGTTCTGATTAGTCTTTTACACTAAAACCTGCGTTCAATACTACTAAAGGCATAACGTAACTTGCATTATTGCCTACTATAGGACACAAAACATGCCCCCTCTTTCCTTTAATGGAGTTTTAGGTGTACTAATTTGTACTATAGTGGTACACCAAAAACTCCATTTTTGAGCCCCGCAGAAAGAGGTCTAAGCAATAGGACAATCATAAAATAATGGCCAAAAGTGGGAATATTGGGATTTCCATGATCATATTCAACCTACATACAAAGTAGCATGCAAGCATTACACCAATTGCAGCTTGTTGAGTCCGCAACCCAGAAAGGTCCACTCAACAAAATATACCAAAGTAAACACCCAACCAAATTACTTTCTCCAAATTGTCTTGTGGCAGTATAGATACCAAAGGGATGCAATTGCCCCAATGTCCAGAGCAAGTCGTTGCCCCTGTCAACCAAATAAACACTTAGCTAAATCACCAAACTCGATATTAGGGTAAACATGTTTTTTTACCGCAGCAGTAATGAGAAAATACCCCTGGTGCGCAACAGCATTTGCATCCCTTGCTTCTATTAAAAAAAATTATGTTCAAAAAAAAAATATAAACATATATATCTAACTTCATCCCTTACCTTTGTCTGTCCCAACCAAAACGATCGAAGCATCTGGAGCATGCTACCTCAGAAACTAGACCCACTGCAACATAAGCAGAAAAAAACTAGCTTAATGCAAATGATAAACTAGGCAGTAATGCTATTAATAACTCTAGGGCTTCCTTATTATGGAATTGCTTTGGTAGCTTTTTTACCAGGAAGAGAGTTATTTTTGCTCGTTTGGGAGGCATCCAAAAGGACCCTAATACTAAGTTCTTCCACATATCTGCTCTTAAAAGAAGAAGGGTCAATAATATTGTCTCCTTTAAGGATGATAATGGTAATTGAATTTATGATTCTGCGCAAATCTGAGATCACACCTTTTATTATTTTAATAGTCTTTATACCACTAGTCATTCTGTTTCTACTATTTTGTGAATCTACCTACCCTTCAATGTAGAATTTTGACTGATAGGGAAAGGGACGATCTAGGCAGTCTTCCTAGTAGGGAGAGTGTTGATGTTAATATGCTATTAAAAACTCTTTTAAACCATTTACGTCCTCAAGTCCCGATGGTCTTTTATCATTTCTTCTATAAAAAATTTCTGGAGCATAGTTGGTAAGTCGGTCCTCACTTTTTGTCATGACATCTTTCACAACCAACAAATCCCTAGTACCTTAAATTGTAACTATATGTCTCATCCCAAAGGTCAATAATGCCAACAACCTCAAGAATATTAAACCTATTGGCATTTGTGATACTATTTATAAAATCATTACTAAGATCATTGCTAATCGTTTGAAACCTCTTGTAAATCAAATTATCGGTCCTTCTCAATCTAGCTTTCTTAAGAATAGGAGAGCATCCCTTCTGACAATAATATTACCATTCAAGAAGCTATAGCTCACTATGCCTGGTAGGGTTACCCTAGTCACTTAGACGCTCAATACTATCACAAACCACCCTATGCGGTACATAAGTCCTCAAGAACTGCTTCCACTTATAGAATTCAGCGCAATTTTTATTTTGGAGCACTACTGACATGCTGACACTAAGTCAAAACTTCACCTAGTTAACTGGAATATTATTAATACCTCGGAAGATATTTGAGGTGGGGGAGTGATCAAAATTGAAACCAAAAATCTAGCTCACTTATCTTGTCTATCTTCGAGGTTTTTCAATTAACCCTGTACCCTTTGGGCTCAAACTTTATTTCATAAACATTGTTCCAACGCCCCTTCTAGACCTCATCCCATCACGCATCTTATAGTAAAATCTAGAAGTTGGGGGAATATCCTTAGCATCTGTAGGAATGGAGTTTGTTAATCTGTAGTTAATGAGAATAATATCAGGTTATGGGATAACAACTGGATTCCTAACAACAAGTCTCTTAGAAACAATTCACGGTCCATTGAGGGGACAACACTATGAGATACAGGTCACCTCTAACCTTATAATTAGGAATGACAGGCGGTACGGATGCGGGGCGGGTTCTGTCTGAACCCGCGATTTTAAACCCGCATTCACCCGCCCCACACTCCACCCACGTTCACCCGCCCCGCAAATTGTTTTAATAAAAATTCTTTCTTTTTCAGAAAGCTAGACCTAAATCTGATTTTTTTAATAAAACAATTAATTATATCCAAATTGTTCTCTCTCACTTTCTTATACTTAGCTTTTTTGAAATAGCCTTTTTGTTTGTCATTGTTTTCTGGTGCACAAGAAAGGGATTACATCTCATTTATATATAATCTTATTTTCTTTTCTGTAGATTTCCAAAATAATACCAATGCCTCAGCTGTTAATTAACCAGTGTTTAACAGTAACATATGTTTTAATTCGGGGAAAAAAGATCACCAAACTGATCATTAGGAAAATGCGGTAGCAATCAGTACACACAATTCTTAAACCCTTGAAAACTACAGAATTCAAGAAACTAAAATCTTGAAATTTAAGAACCCCAAAATATTCTAAGAACCTTATAAATGCACTAGAGTCAGATGTAGCTTTTGTGCAAAACTGATTGATTGAACTTAATATTCTTTTGGAACCATTTGAGAAGGAAATTGGAGTGACAAAAATGAGAACATGGCATGTATGTTATTTCTTCCCATATTGAAAGCTTGTCTAAGCAAATAGGACACTGCTCGTAAGAATCATCTTCTTTCACCACTACTAAATGCCTCAGCTGCTTCATCACTTCATCCACAATGGCCCGTTGTATGAACAAACTACAATAGGACACAAATACTCAACAAAATCTATTAAATTCAAATTACAAAACCACAAGAAATTGTATCAACAAACTACAGTAAGCCAACTTGAATCAAAAAGAAATTGTATTAACAAATGACATTCTCTTCCTCTTCTATCGACCAGTAAGCCAACTTGAATCCGACTCTTCCTCTTCGTCAAGTAATGTTGGACATGAAACTTTGTCGACCATTGAAGCC